GATTTGAAATCGAGATCGAAGGATCTTTGCGGATGCCCTCGTCTCCACATAAGCTTTACCTACAAAATTAAAACACATAAAAATAAGTTAGTATAAAATATAGAAAAAAAATTAATGCATGCATGTCCCGGGACTGACGTAAAAGTAAATCTATTTCTATATGCAAGATGCGAAATTAAATTAAATGCATAAATGTAAAAGGAAATGGACGAATTGCTCCCTATGATGGTCCGTTGAGGCGGCCGCTTCCTCTCGTATGCATCTAAAAAGATTTAAAATAGATATTAGTATATATGTATAGGAAACAACAAAATAATATTAAAATCACTTACCTTGGATTTGAAATCGAGATCGAAGGATCTTTGCGGATGCCCTCGTCTCCACATAAGCCTTACCTACAAAAAAAAAAGCACTTAAAAATAAGTTAGTATAAAATATAGAAAAAAATTAATGCATGCATGTCCCGGGACTGACGTAAAAATAAATCTATTTCTATATGCAAGATGCGAAATTAAATTAAATGCATAAATGTAAAAGGAAAGGGATGAATTGCTCCCTATGATGGTCCGTTGAGGCGGCCGCTTCCTCTCGTATGCATCTAAAAAGATTTAAAATAGATATTAGTATATATGTATAGGAAACAACAAAATAATATTAAAATCACTTACCTTGGATTTTGAAATCGAGATCGAATGATCTTTGCGGATGCCCTCGTCTCCACATAAGCCTTACCTACAAAAAAAAAAGCACTTAAAAATAAGTTAGTATAAAATATAGAAACAAAATTAATGCATGCATGTCCCGGGACTGACGTAAAAATAAATCTATTTCTATATGCAAGATGCGAAATTAAATTAAATGCATAAATGTAAAAGGAAAGGGACGAATTGCTCCCTATGATGTATTCGGTCGTCCTATCATGCGGCCGCTCCCTCTCGTATGCATCTAAAAAGATTTAAAATAGATATTAGTATATATATATAGGAAACAACAAAATAATATTAAAATCACTTACCTTGGATTTGAAATCGAGATCGAAGGATCTTTGCGGATGCCCTCGTCTCCACATAAGCCTTACCTACAAAAAAAAAGCACTTAAAAATAAGTTAGTATAAAATATAGAAACAAAATTAATGCATGCATGTCCCGGGACTGACGTAAAAATAAATCTAATTCTATATGCAAGATGCGAAATTAAATTAAATGCATAAATGTAAAAGGAAAGGGACGAATTGCTCCCTATGATGTATTCGGTCGTCCTATCTTGCGGCTGCTCCCTCTCGTATGCATCTAAAAAGATTTAAAATAGATATTAGTATATATGTATAGGAAACAACAAAATAATATTAAAATCACTTACCTTGGATTTGAAATCGAGATCGAAGGATCCTTTCGGATGCCCTCGTCTCCACATAAGCTTTACCTACAAATTTAAAACACAAAAAATAAGTTAGTATAAAATATAGAAAAAAAATTAATGCATGCATGTCCCGGGACTGACGTAAAAATAAATCTATTTCTATATGCAAGATGCGAAATTAAATTAAATCCATAAATGTAAAAGGAAAGGGATGAATTGCTCCCTATGATGGTCCGTTGAGGCGGCCGCTTCCTCTCGTATGCATCTAAAAAGATTTAAAATAGATATTAGTATATATGTATAGGAAACAACAAAATAATATTGAAATCACTTACCTTGGATTTGAAATCGAGATCGAATGATCTTTGCGGGTGCCCTCGTCTCCACATAAGCCTTACCTACAAAAAAAAAAAGCACTTAAAAATAAGTTAGTATAAAATATAGAAACAAAATTAATGCATGCATGTCCCGGGACTGACGTAAAAGTAAATCTATTTCTATATGCAAGATGCGAAATTAAATTAAATGCATAAATGTAAAAGGAAAGGGACGAATTGCTCCATATGATGTATTCGGTCGTCCTATCATGCGGCTGCTCCCCTCGTATGCATCTAAAAAGATTTAAAATAGATATTAGTATATATGTATAGGAAACAACAAAATAATATTAAAATCACTTACCTTGGATTTGAAATCGAGATCGAAGGATCTTTGCGGATGCCCTCGTCTCCACATAAGCTTTACCTACAAATTTAAAACACATAAAAATAAGTTAGTATAAAATATAGAAAAAAAATTAATGCATGCATGTCCCGGGACTGACGTAAAAATAAATCTATTTCTAGATGCAAGATGCGAAATTAAATTAAATTCATAAATGTAAAAGGAAATGGATGAATTGCTCCCTATGATGGTCCGTTGAGGCGGCCGCTCCCTCTCGTATGCATCTAAAAAGATTTAAAATAGATATTAGTATATATGTATAGGAAACAACAAAATAATATTAAAATAACTTACCTTGGATTTTGAAATCGAGATCGAATGATCTTTGCGGGTGCCCTCGTCTCCACATAAGCCTTACCTACAAAAAAAAAAGCACTTAAAAATAAGTTAGTATAAAATATAGAAACAAAATTAATGCATGCATGTCCCGGGACTGACGTAAAAGTAAATCTATTTCTATATGCAAGATGCGAAATTAAATTAAATGCATAAATGTAAAAGGAAAGGGACGAATTTCTCCCTATGATGTATTCGGTCGTCCTATCATGCGGCCGCTCCCTCTCGTATGCATCTAAAAAGATTTAAAATAGATATTAGTATATATGTATAGGAAACAACAAAATAATATTAAAATCACTTACCTTGGATTTTGAAATCGAGATCGAATTATCTTTGCGGGTGCCCTCGTCTCCACATAAGCCTTACCTACAAAAAAAAAAGCACTTAAAAATAAGTTAGTATAAAATATAGAAACAAAATTAATGCATGCATGTCCCGGGACTGACGTAAAAATAAATCTATTTCTATATGCAAGATGCGAAATTAAATTAAATGCATAAATGTAAAAGGAAAGGGACGAATTGCTCCCTATGATGTATTCGGCCGTCCTATCATGCGGCCGCTCCCGCTCGTATGCATCTAAAAAGATTTAAAATAGATATTAGTATATATGTATAGGAAACAACAAAATAATATTAAAATCACTTACCTTTGATTTTGAAATCGAGATCGAATGATCTTTGCGGATGCCCTCGTCTCCACATAAGCCTTACCTACAAAAAAAAAAGTACTTAAAAATAAGTTAGTATAAAATATAGAAACAATATTAATGCATGCATGTCCCGGGACGGACGTAAAAATAAATCTATTTCTATATGCAAGATGCTAAATTAAATTAAATGCATAAATGTAAAAGTAAAGGGACGAATTACTCCCTATGATGTATTCGGTCGCCCGATCATGCGGCCGCTCCCTCTCGTATTCATCTAAAAAGATTTAAAATGAATATTAGTTTGTATATTAGGAAGGAAAAAGCAAAATAATATTAAAACTTAATCGATTGATCGATCGATCTACGGACATATGTACATGTCATCCCCCCCCCCCCTCCAAGAACTCAAAGTTAGCAAAGAAACTAAACTACACACCAACATGATCGATCGATCGATCTACGGACATATGGTCTGTATTACAATCGATCTAAAGAAGGGCAGTAAGTACATGTCATCCATCATCCCCTCCCCTCCAAGAACCTCAAGAATGAATTAATAGTGAAAAAGAATCAGAGATGGGAAAAACGCACCAGCAAAATGGAAGATAACTCACCAGATTGCTTTGCTGCTGTTGCATCGATCGATCGAGATCGAAGCACTGCACTTGACCTCTGGATCGCCCTCCCTCCCAAGCACTGCACTTGATCTCTGGATCGCCCTCCCTCCTGTAAGCACACCATGCCCCTGCCCATGCCCATGCCCCACCAAGAATCCCCCCCGCCCTGCCCTGCTCGTACCCCACCCCATTGCATTTGCATTTGCATTTGCATTGCACACCCAAAAATTTATAATAATGTTTACAAAATCAAAATCAAGAATATTTATAATAGTATGCCCTAACGGCTACTTACCTAATATAAAACTTACCATATATATAATTTCACATGTGTGTATTAAAATTCAAATAATTTCTTTTTTTTAATATTATGTGTATATTAATATTAAAATCAAAATCATTATGCTTAACGGCTACTTACCTAATATAAAACTTACCATATATATAATTCCACATGTGTATATTAAAATTCAAATAATTTCCTTTTTTATTATTATGTGTATATTAATATTCAAATCAAAATAATTATGCTTAACGGCTACTTACCTAATATAAAACTTACCATATATATAATTTCACATGTGTATATTAAAATTAAAATAATTTCTTTTTTTTAATATTATGTGTATATTAAAATCAAAATCAAAATCATTATGCTTAACGGCTACTTACCTAATATAAAACTTACCATATATATAATTTCACATGTGTATATTAAAATTAAAATAATTTCTTTTTTAATATTATGTGTATATTAAAATTAAAATCAAAATCATTATGCTTAACGGCTACTTACCTAATATAAAAACTTACCATATTATATGTATATTAAAATGACCGAATAGTTAATTAAAATAAAAAAAATTATAAATTATGAATTTTAAAATATGATTAAAGTCGATAATTATATTTCCAAAAAGAAAAGAGATAATGTATATGGGATGGACGGATATAGAAAAAGTTGACAAATTAAGTGGGACGGAGGAAGTAATATTTTATGTTAAACTATTATATTTTTTAGTGTATAAATTATATATTATATATTTTGTACAACACTTTACATATATATTATATTTTTTTAATATAAATCGAAAACCGTATTAAAAATTAAGTGGCGATGGGTTGGAGATCAACCTGGGTCACCTGCATGCCAACAGAACCAAGAGATTAAAGCTTTGCAAATACGAAAGAGAAATGTTTTCTTAACTACTATTACCATTGTATTTATTTATTAGATTTATCCTTATCTTTGTAGACCCAGATAGAGTAACTTCCTTCTCGCCGAACTCTAATTAACTCGGTGTCACAGTCACTTCCACGTTGTCCGGTGCGTGCACTGTCACCTCGTACACGGCATTCGCCTCCTTCCCGACATTTCTTACGCTTCGTTTATACTTCACAACGCTTTTAAAGCCGGAGAAGGCAACCGAGAGCGACGGGTAGTTCAAATCCCCCGGAGTTTTCAGCCCGACTGCGTTGCAATCCACGATCGACGAATCTTTCGTGAATGCCGTAATTTGCCACACATTGTACCCGATGCTGCACAAAAACGCGACGTAGTTTTGGGTATCGATGTCGTAGATCAGGCCGGGATCCGTTGCTCGGTTTGGATCGATGTGGCCCGAGGATGGATTGGACACGTCCCCGGTGGCGAGGTCTGTTAAATTATTCCCGTTGTTGTCAACGTTGTACGCGTGGTCATCAATGCTGATTTGATCGCCGCCAGCGACCACTCAGGGTGGGCCTGTTTCAGCAGCGTCGCCAAGCCGCTGACGTGAGGGCACGACATCGACCTGCCGGAGATGATGTTGAATTCGACCTCGCGATTACTGCTGTTGAGAGACGTTGGCCAGACGTAGCCGGTCCAGCTAGCGAGAATGTTGACTCCGGGCGCATTCACGTCCGGCTTGAGAATCTCGGAGGTTCGATAGCTCGGACCGCGGCTGGAGAACGAGACCATGCGCGGCGACGACGGAGATTTGCTTACAACGGTTTCCCGCGACCTGATAGTCGCGATGGGATTCGGAGTTGCGCGGACATAAGCTAGGATTTTGTCGGCGCCGATTTCTCCAACCATTGTCGAGGGAATGAAGTGCGCATCGGCGAGGAGTTCCTCGCCGGAATCAGCTAAATTTTATTAATAATATCAAAAAAAATACAAAAAATAAAATATATTTACAAAAGCGTCATATTGCAAACAAAGTGAAAAATATTCTAATATGAAACAATCGAAACTCTAACAAATAATAAATTGAGTAGACTCATGTGTACCAAAAAAACATTCTTAGTTTTTTTCTTTTTTAATCATTTTTATTAGTTTATTACAAATATTTGTATTGTCGGCTGCCTGCACCGAGAGTTTTATTTAGAGAGAGATAAAAAAATATCTATGTAGTTGTTTGACTTTGACTATATAGTTTGTATCAGCAGAACTACGTATGGCTTGATCCCGTTTGGGTACGTAGGCAGCCCACTTTGGGTGCCGCTATTGCTTAAACTTGATAAACTTAGTATTGCTTGGTTGGTGTTGATGGATTAAACTTGTTGACTTTGGCCTTTGATACTTAGACTACTTAGGCTTGTGTGGTCTGTTTTGTTTGACTTTGACTATATAGTCTGTATCAGCAGAACTACGGATGGCTTGATCCCGTTTGGGTAAGTAGGCAGCCCACTTTAGGTGCAACCATTACTTAAACTTGATAGACTTAGTATTGCTTGGTTGGTGTTGATGCATTAAACTTGTTGACTTTGGCCTTTGATACTTAGACTACCTAGGCTTGTGTGGTCTGTTTTGTTTGACTTTGACTATATAATCTGTATCAGCAGAACTACGTATGGCTTGATCCCGTTTGGGTACGTAGGCAGCCCACTTTGGGTGCAGCCATTACTTAAACTTGATAGACTTAGTATTGCTTGGTTGGTGTTGATGCATTAAACTTGTTGACTTTGGCCTTTGATACTTAGACTACCTAGGCTTGTGTGGTCTGTTTTGTTTGACTTTGACTATATAGTCTATATCAGCAGAACTACGTATGGCTTGATCCCGTTTGGGTACGTAGGCAGCCCACTTTGGGTGCAGCCATTACTTAAACTTGATAGACTTAGTATTGCTTGGTTGGTGTTGATGCATTAAACTTGTTGACTTTGGCCATTGATACTTAGACTACCTAGGTTTGTGTGGTCTGTTTTGTTTGACTTTACCAAAATATAGTCTGTATCAGAAAAACTTCGTATGGCTTGATCCCGTTTGGGTACGTAGGCAGCCCACTTTGGGTGCAGCCATTACTTAAACTTGATAGACTTAGTATTGCTTGGTTGGTGTTGATGCATTAAACTTGTTGACTTTGGCCTTTGATACTTAGACTACCTAGGCTTGTGTGGTCTATTTTGTTTGACTTTGACTATATAGTCTGTATGAGAAGAACTACGTATGGCTTGATCCCGTTTGGGTACGTAGGCAGCCCACTTTGGGTGCAGCCATTACTTAAACTTGATAGACTTAGTATTGCTTGGTCGGTGTTGATGCATTAAACTAGTTGACGTTGGCCTTTGATACTTAGACTACCTAGGCTTGTGTGGTCTGTTTTGTTTGACTTTGACTATATAATCTGTATCAGCTGAACTACGTATGGCTTGATCCCGTTTGGGTACGTAGGCAGCCCACTTTGGGTGCAGTCATTGCTATATAGTTTTTACCAAAAAAACCCTAAACCCTAAATCCTAAACCATCCACCAACTTCCTAGCGACTGTTATTTTGCCTTGTCCGATCAAAATTGCCATTAAGCTACCAGCTTATCCAACCCTTTTCCTTCCATTGCACTACCGTCATTGTTTTCATCAGCCCTAAAAACCTCCACCTGGTTACTCGCACCGCCGTATATCCGCCAGAGGTGCCGGAAATATCCCCGATCAAAGTTCGTCCAAAATGTATCGCCAGAAAACTGCCCCTCTGGCCGGGTTTAGGGTTTAGAGATGCGATTTGGTAGATATCTCATATATATATATATAAGGGAACCGTGTCGCGGATGCCTTAGCGACTGTGGTAGTTTCTCTTTCGATTTAGCAGACACATCTCTCCCAACAGATATCCTTTCGTCGATCAAATGACTCCTTCAAGCGGATGCAGATGGTCTCCTGACTTTCCGTTTTAGGTAACTGGCTTCACCTCCTTATTTGTTTTTTGGGAAACTTAGTGTTGATATTACTTATACTTAATAGAATTAGCATTGGTTGGTTGGTATTGATGCATTAAACTTGTTGACATTGGCCTTTGATACTTAGACTACCTAGGCTTGTGTGGTCTGTTTTGTTTGACTATGACTGTATAGTCTGTATCAACAGAACCGTAAACCACCAATCGGGGTCGGAAATCTCCCTCCGAATATACTTCAACGCCGACACTCGACTCCTTCCGCTTCGAAACCCATGCCAAATCTTCGAGAAATGTGGCCAGGAAACGACCTCCAAAATGATCCTAATAGCTTCTTGAACAACCCGTAATTTCAATCCCGGAAGAACGAGCTTCGACTTCTTTACTTTCGCGCCTCGGCTCGATATCGTATATGTATTTCCGGAAACGTCGAAGCTCCTGTCGGCTAACTCCTCCGCCATTAACTAGAACGACAATGGATTGCTATCGGACAACAAATCGACATTCGAAGATGCTCGGAGACAATCGTAAGCATCCTTTAGAGTATTCGGATCGGCGATTACTTTCGACATGAGATCGTGAAACTTCCCATCCCTATATTGCTGCTTCACCTTCTTCTTAATCTGTAGCTCGAAGAACCTCCTCGATTCCAGCCTCGACCTCGGTTTCGGCATTCGATTTCGAGTTTTGTAAGATTGTTGAACCAGTGAGGCCAGATTGTTAGCCAGAGCTGATTTGCTAATCTCCCTGTAAAATGATGAGTTTTATAAAAAATATATATCTTAAAAATATTTTTTTTAATAAAATAAATAATTTATCAATCATTTATTTAATATTTTTTTTAGATGAGTTGTTGCCTAATTTTTTTAAAAAATATATATAAAATGAAGAATTATCAATTATTTATTTATTTATTTTATTAAAATAAGGTTATTTATTATATTTTACCTCTTTTATTTATTTTGAAATTTTATAATAATTTATATGTTTATAATCAAACATTAACTTTGGACGGAAAAAAAATATTTTGTGAATATTTTAATTTTAACACAAGAATTTTACATAATAAATAAAATATAAAATATGTTATGAATATATACTAAAACACAAAAGACTACATTTTGTTATGATATTTTTTTTTTTTTTAATTTTATTATTTTTTTTGGCCTCTTCTTTGTCAATATATTTTTATATGGAATTTATAACATATATATTATAGTATATCATTGATTTATAGTAAATAATTTTATTATTTTTATATTTTATTAAAATTTTATAATATTTATATTTTATTTTTATATTAAAATAATATTTTCTAGTTTATATAAAAATCTTCATTTTCAAATAAATAATATAATTAGTTGGAACATGATTATGGGGGTTTATTTATCTTGATATATTTTAATCTTTATGATTTAATTAAAAAAAATTCACATTAAATATGGTTTGAAAAGCATAGATTAACGGGACCAATCAATTACCTAATCCAATAATAATGGTGCTCACTTTATTTATTTATTTATTTTTGCTTTAATGAAATGGAAAACTTATATATATATATATATATATATAAATATTTAGAAAAAGATAGCTCTTTCTCAAAGTAAACGATTTTTACGAATGTATTTGGATATATATATATATTTATTTTCTCCATTTTATAGGAAAATAATAATTAAATATGATATCTTAAAAGAAATTTAAAAATTAAATAGTAAAAAAAAGTGAAAAAAAAAAACACACACACACACGAGAATGAATTCATTGTATTCAAAAAAATTTAATGCTTAAAAAAAATTTGAGAGTTATTTTTTCTTATCGAGATATTCACCGCTTTAATTTACACATAAGTAAACTTTTTGCAAATCCTCGCCAAGATAATACGCACATTAGTTTGGTAGCCATCGGAAATTTTGAAGGAAAAATCGAAACAAATGGCATAATAGTCTTGCTATGTCATTGTAAAAAAATTGTAACGTACATGTTCAAATAATATTACCTTCTATTTTGATACTAAGTCATAGAAATTAAGGAGATCTTTAAATTGCGTATACAACTACACATTTCGTCTTAAATTGAGTATTTACTATTCAAATTTTTTGCATTTTTTATTTACCTATTAATTTTTTACCCAGTATCAATATAATATGAATATTCCTTGAATCTCGTATTCAACTCAATTAATACTATATTTATAGAACAAAGAAGTTATACTTTTGAAAAAACACTTGAAATTTGAGGTTAAAGAAACAAACCTTATAGCAATTTATCCTTATTATTATTATTATTATTATTTATGGGCCGCTAAAAATGGGATTCAATTGTGTGATAAATAAATAAACAAACAAGATTTTATGCATGTATATGTATAAATATATATATTATATGTGAATTTTGTTTTATGCAATATATATATATATGGATTTATTTGATTAAATTAATAATGTCACATTTACGTGTTGATTTATGAGATAACAAAAATCAGGTTTGATGATGTCACATAAAGATAACTACGTTGCAATAAAAACACACATCTTTCTCTCCTTTTTCCCTTTTATTAAATTAAATATTAGTATATTATTCCCAATTTTATATTCACCCTTGGCTTCATCAATTAATTATCATTTACGTGTCATGATTTTATTTGCAAACCATTGTATTATCTACATCTATCCATTCATTAATTTTATTTATTTATGATAAAAAAATAAAATAAAACAAAGTTTCAATACCTTTTTCTTTTACGTTCTGTATTACATTTAAGATTATTACTAATTAAAATTTTTGGTGTATACGTGATTCATAAATAATCTTATAAATAATACAATCAAAAAATAAACATGTCTAAAAAAGTTTAAAATAATAAAGTTAAAACTCTAGGCTGCACTTATATATATTTTGGAAATGTTATGATACTTTAATATTATATAATAGTAAAAAAAATTGAATTGAAATTAGTGATTTATATGTATGTTTATGGAAGAATGAAATTTGAATGTAATATTTTATAGAATAGATATATATATATATATATGGAAAAAATCATTTTTTTGTCTCAATATAACCAAAACTCATCATTCTTGGTCATAATATAAATTTTTTTATTAATTTTAGTCCCAATATAACTAAAACTACTCATTTTTTGTCCCAATATAATCAAACCTTATTTTTTTTGGTCCCACTGTCAACAAACTGACGGAAAATGCTGACGTGGACTTACAAGATTGTTCAATTTCTTAAAAAATATAAATATAAGGTTTGATTTATTTTCACGTCAGCATTTTCCGTCGATTTGTTAACGGTGGGACAAAAAAAGATAAGATTTGATTATATTTGGACAAAAAATGATGAGTTTTTGTTATATTGGGACTAGAATTAATAAAAAATTTATATTGGGACGGAAAATGATGAGTTTTGGTTATATTGGGACAAAAAATGATGAGTTTTGGTTATATTATGACCAAAATTGATAAGATTTTTATATTGAGACCAAAATTGATGAATTTTGGTTATATTGTGACTGAAATTAATTTTTTCCCATATATATATATACGAGTAATAAGATAATAAAATTGATGAAATATAGGTTGACAGGGCCTAACTTCATATATTTTAGGGAAACTTCATATATTCTAGGGATTCTTATATTGGTAACAAAATATTTACTTCAATATTACATCAAATAAAAAATAGTTAATATAATATTTTATTACAAACATTAGATTAACTATTCAAACTAATTAACTATATAAATTAAAATTTCTTAAACTACGTGCCAAAAAAATTGGACTATTTTCGCGGAACGGATGGAGTATATATATATATATTTAACAAGGGGCTTTAATTCTAACAACATCAATTGTTTGGAGTTTTATTCTAATTTTTAAATATCGAATAGTTAGTTAAAATAACAAATAATCCAATAATCAAATACTTTATACATTAGTTATTTATTAAATTTACCAATAAAGATAAACAATAGTTTTAGCGCATAAATAATAACACTATACCAAAAATTATATAAACTAATAATATTATAAAAATATTAAATATTTTATATTTTATAATTTATAGTTTTTAATATTAATTAAACTATTTAGTTATTTAATTTTAAACTATAATTATTTTTACCAGTGCACTTCTTAATTACTTACTAATTATATTTTATCTAAATTCTCGTATCAACGATAATATGCTCATATTACATGATAAAAAAAAGTAAAATATTAATATTATAGATATAATTATATACTAATTTTTAATTTACTAAAAAATTATTATAATTAAATTTGGTTAAAAAAATTAATTAAAATTATTTCAAAATATATAATATAATTTTAATATATATTAATATTTATTTGATATAATTTAAAATAAAATAAATAAATGTTAAAATTTTGAAAGATGTTATTAAATTTCTAATAAAATATTTAAATAGTATAATAGTTAATTAAATAATTTTTTTTTTATAAAATCCTTCCCCTTCAAATTCCCCCAAATTATAAAAAAATAAAATAAAATAAAAGAAATTGACTCCCCTAAACCCTAAACTCCCCTCCCATCCCTTCCCCTCTAAAAATTTTTGAACCAAACATACAAAATTTTATAATTCCCTTCCCTCCCCTTTCTTCCTAAACCCTCAAACCAAACAGGGGCCAGGGGACATACCGGAGGATCTGTGTTCCGCTACCTAACGCTGCCGGAGATATGCAATTGGCGCAGCGCATTCCACGGCACCGCTTCGTCGGATGCGGTTTGGGAATCCAAGCTTCCATGTGATTACCACCAACCAGCTGCTCGATTTCCTCTGTTTCTGTAAGAAGAATCCTTCTGTTCGACGAGAGAAACAAGACACGTTAATTAATTTCCGATGCATCTCGGTTACTTTTCGTCCTTATATGCATAATTTTTGCTTTCTCTTTTTGTCACATTTGTGGATCGATGGTTTGATTATCTTCCTCCATGATTCAATCAGTTGATCCTGGTTTATTTGCCCTGTTGAAATTTGTCTGGCTTTGTTTTTGGTTTTTCCTTACTCAACTCTGTTTAAATTAGGTTTTAGGTTAATACGATTTGAAGTTGGTAGATTAATTCCTTCTTATTAATTAAATTGCATAGTGTTTTGTGTAGTATTTTCTGAAAGTGAACAAACCCTAAGACAAAGTGGTTGTTTACTGTGAATTTTACTAAGAGCATTCACTGATGCCTCTGAAAATGCATACAACTAGATAACAAACGTCATTACAGTGCAAGTATTTGTTCAACTTCTAATGTGGGAAAACATGGTCTCCATAGTGAAATGTGTGAAATAATTGTTATATTTCAAAAAGTAGGAAGAAAAAAAGAAAAAAGACACAACATGAACTCATCCTTAAGGCTGAACAAATGTACAAAATACATTATTGGCTCTCAATTTCTCATCCAACAATCGCACTTGTATCCATTGCTGTTGCAAGTTAATTTGTCTTGATTTCGATTGCTTTGCAGGTGTCTTGTTCTCTGTGCAGTGAAACAATGGACCGCGACATTTTAGATGTACCCAAAGGAGAGAATTGTCCACAGAGGATTGTGACATGTGAATATTGCGAGTTTCCTCTGCCTGCTATTGATTTATTGGAGCACCAGGTAATAAATTGATATAACAACTTAGGTATCTTTAACTTAAGCTGACGTGCTTCTCATTTATTATGCCAGGAAGTATGTTGGAACCGAACAGAATTATGTCATATGTGCCATAAATACGTGAGATTTCGAGAGTGTTATGGTCATGAAAGCAGATGCAGTAGTGTTGTTAACGACGTTGCTGAATCTTCAAGGTAAGTAGTATCATTATCAGTAGATCATTTACGTAATTTAATGATATGGGTTTTACTAAAGAAGATTATCCACGCGAACACTCTGTTAATAAAAAAAAACAGGTGTTTTGTTTGATTATTTGGTAGAAATTTAGAAAATAGTTTGATAAATGATGTCAAACCAAAACCAAGCGGTGAAGTAACAGAACTTGAATTCATCAACATTTTGGAACTGTCTCTGCATTAATTGCATAAACCCTTTGGAATGTACTAATGGTTAGATGCTACTTAATAAACGTGTATACTTTTAAATATAATGTATATTAAATTCTAACAATGTTGAAATTTGAATATTTAATACAGAAATATGGCATAACAAGGTGGAAAATTTATGCTATGTAGGATTGAAGGAACAAGTGTGAAAGTAATTGTTGAAAATGAGGAGCCTTCACCTGAAGGAAAGCAATCTCCTTTGCGAATAGACAGAAGGTTCTATCTACCTTACCTAGTTTAGTTTGTCCATTCGGATCAAAGGACGAAATCTTACCATGTCGATTTTTTAGGTTTGTGATGCTTCATGGCTCCCCAGGATTCTACTCTTACGCTATTTTCGAGCATTTGGAAGACTTCCCTGGTTTCAACCTTAGCACCACCCGAATCGCGTGCATGCTCAATAAAGACCTGTAAGAATCTCTTTACTACAATAACATTGCATTGTTGTTTTATCGCGGCAAGTTATCCTTCCATTTTCCAATTGGTTAGGCAAGATATTTAGATGACTGTAGGTTTTACCAGGTTACATTACATGGCAATATCAGATAACAGGCAAAGATACATGCCCAGGCCGGAAGATCGACTGCCTCCTAGAGGTCAAGAACTGGAGTACCCTGAAGCCGTGCTTCTTGTTGATCCTGTCGACCTGGAATTTAAAGGAGAAGTACACTGAGATTACTACTTCCTTAAAAATACTGCTGAAGAATGTGTTTTCTTTATACCTTTAACTTGTCTTCTTCGTTGATCTTTTTCATGTGCAGGTGGATGACAAATACCATTACTCAATTGAGAACAAAGATAATAAGGTGCATGGGTGGATAAGCTCTGATCCACCGGTGGGGTTCTGGCAAATTGCGCCGAGCAATGAATATCGAAATGGAGGACCTTTGAAACAAGACTTGACCTCTCATGTGAACCCGACCACCCTTGCGGTAAGCACCTGTCGGCTGTTGAAGCTGACTTCCTCTCTCGTGATTTTTACCAAAAACTTTCTGTGGATGCAATCTGATTTTCGTACCAGATATTTGTCACATATCATTATGCAGGAGAGGATCTTCTACTCAAATTTCAACCTGGCGAAATATGGAAGAAAGTGTTCGGACCAGTTTTTATCCATCTCAATTCTGTTCCGGACCGGTAAGCTGTTAGAACAGGTAAGCTGTTCGGACCAGTTTTTATCCATCTCAATATCTTCTACTCTTTGGAATAATGCCAAAGAACAGGTAAGCTGTTAGAGTTTGCACAAATGTACAAGAGAAGTGCTATATATTCATTTTTTCCCCTTTTGGGTAAATCTAAAGAAGCCGCATTATTGAAGCAGAACAAATATTATGAATGTTCTTCAAAAGGGCAGTAATAGTTGAAGAGGTTCACCATGAAGACAATGGAACTAAGAAGGAAAATCGAGATATGACAGGTATTGATTTTTTTATTTCAATATCTATAGAAATGATCTACAACTAAGTCACAACAAAAACATAGATTAACACAGATGCTTTTGGCGTCTCAGTCTGGTTCCCCTGGAGTTCGGAAATCTCACTCTGGTTCGCGCCAATCCCTTCACGGAAATTCTTACCCGGGCGCCCGTGATGGCGTAAGCACGTCGCAAGTCAGTTATCATACCGGTTATTGCATTTTGCACCAATAATTCACCAAAAGCAAAAAAGAATAGACAAATAGGCAAAAGGTTTGATTTGTTCTCTTTGGTTCCATAAAACTATTTTCTGCTATTTTTTCTCATTTGGTTTATTGGTTTTTACTATTTAGAATTTAGAATTTGCAAGTTAAACATCTTATGTATGTAATCAGTGGCAAATAACACTAAATGATTTGCGGTTGAACTGGTTGTATGCTTTGGTGCTTATGTTCGACAATATTTGTTGTCTCAAAATTGCAACGAGATTGAATTTTTAGTTGTTCTAAAATAAAGAATGGAAAAAGTTACATATCTTCCATTATGTATTGAGCCAAAAACACTTGCTTGGTTCGTTTATCCTGTAAACATGATCTCATTATAAATTTTGATTATATATGCACAATCATTAAGCAATTTTGGACTTTTCATTATGACACTAACTGAATGTATGTATCTCCAACTGTATTGATTGATTTACTTCCAGTTGTTGGTATTTGTTTTCTATTCATCCACTAATGGCTTCATTATGGGACAAAGGGCGTGCTTTTATAAACATATTATACTGTGCAGAAATAAAATTCTTGTGTGGAGATTGCATTTACAATGGAAGAAGCGTGGGATTATACAATTCTTGATGAAGTAGGCTTAATGTTCTGTACGTCATGCCCTTGGTTTTGTATGCAACAAGTACTAATTCCATATGAGTTCAAGTACTAATTTTGTACTATTCCATTTTGAATGCAGAATTCTATTAGGGGCAGCTTACATTAATCAGGTGAGCATATCAACGAGGCATTTGGGTAAGTGTATTTTCCAAACTAATGTTTAATATCCTATGCATTGAGATTTGGTTGTATATTTTTACATTAATTTTTCTTTTAATCTTTTTTATTTTATTTTATTTTATTTTTATTTTACCTTATACATTGTTGCAGATCGAGTTTTTAGGTGTGTTGCTACATCACAAGCAAGTCATCATTCGTTCTCTTCCTTAACCAACCATTTATATATAATATATATGTTTAGCTTTTGTTGATTTTATACTCTTCATTTCCTTGTACTACAGTCTATGAGATTTGGAAATTAAGTATTTATTTTACGGATCCATTTTTGGGTTGATGCGATGAGCGACCATAAATATATGTGATAGGTTTAGATTTATTTTCGTCGCTCCTATGGTGTCTATACTTGCTAATATGAAGTTTTCTATTTGATAAAAATAATATATTTGAAGTCACTTAACTCACTTTGTAGTCGATGCTGAAAATTTTGCTTATGCTATTATGTAATTTCTCTAGCATGTGAATCTTTTCATCTGTTCTATATATTAGGATATCTATTAGGTGTCTATTAAAATTTTGATGGCCCAACTCTTACAAGAATAAGTGGAACCCGGGCAGTTTCTATTCCTTTACATTGCTCGACATTGTTGATTTAATACATGTTTTTAGACTATATTATTGATTTAGGTCCTACATATATCATTCAACTTGTGTTTATAGAATATTTAGTCTTGGTTTGGATTGTGATTGCACACGTGCATAGATATTCAGTGTCATTTAAGAGATCAGCATAACACCAGAAGTCGTAAATATGCAACATATTTTTTATAACAAGATCTGAATATTGGTATCAAGCACCAAAAATACTTTATCCAACGCATAGTTGTACCTATATTGAGAAAAATATGCTTACCTGCAAATTAATTGCCCAGTAATTTTTGTTAAAAACTTATTTATATATTAGTTGTAATTTTATTTAAAATTGGCCATGTTTAAGCGTTGTCTTTATTATGTGGGGTTGATAAATCCAATTTTTGTCTTTAAATCCTTGAATGGTACATGGGTGAAGGTTACATAATGTATATATAGAAAAACCCCAGGGATGTCACAAAATAGGTGCAAAGATACTGAAGAGCAAATCCAGGAACTGTGAGCTTAGATTTGTACATGATCTCACTCTTAGATTATGTGTATTCTTTAATTAAGTTGTCTATGCTATTTGTATTTTAGCTTTTTTTATTTTTGGACCCTACTTTATTCTCATTTCGGGAAATTGAAATTTTATTGTTTGTATTAGTGAAGGATGTCCAAGCCAGCAACATACTTCTTGATGATAAATATGAAGTTAAACTGGGAAGCCTCAGTGAGGTTTGTCCTCAAGAATGTAAAACTCATCAAAGGAGGATCTCAAAGTTGCTCCGTTTTGCCAGTAAGTAATTTCTTGCAACTAAATCGAAGGTCAATAAAACTTTCATTCTAGTTGAATATGGGCACTACTTATATAGGCTTGCAATATAATTACAGTTCTAAAATTCTAGTATTCATGTGTATGTATGTGTGAATATTAATTTGTTGTCCACTAATTGTTGAACATATTTCCATAAGGCAAAAGGGTCAAATTTTATTTAAAACGTTGAAAATAGTTGTCATGTTGTGCTAATAATTTTCTCACGGGCATTTGTTTCTTCCCCTTATATTATGTTGGCACATTAAAGATGATATGAACAGATTGTTTGCAAGCTGGTATTAAGTAGTCTTAGTTTAGAAAATTTGATAAATTGTATTTCGTAATAATAATGCTTTGTGCAATTTCATAATAACAGTTATATGAAGGACCAGTGGAAACATGATTTGTGTTTTTTTTTACTTAATCTCTTAATTCCAGGAGGTATATGTGAAAGCATTGGGAAAAGGGTTATTGTTGCACCATTGCACCATATCGGCGGATTTTAAGGAAAAGACTTCAGCATATCGGTGGATTCAAATTTTAAGGTATCTCGCTTCCATTATTTGAGAAGTTAACATCATATTTAACAAAAAATTGTGACAATTTCAGGCTGGTATTACTCCCTCAGCCACGCAAAAAATTAGTGCATTTTTTGCGAGGGAGAGAGTAATATTTTTTGGGCTGGATTAGCCGTTTTAAAATTCAAGCCCGATAGACCCGGCTTGATTTTGAATTGGGCTTGAAAACCAAAACCCAAGCATGGCCCGGTTTCAAAATATACCGGGCCAGGCCAGGCTAGCCCAGATTTTAATAATACCGGGCCAGACCAGCCTAGATCTTGTAATCGAGATCGAAGGATCTTTGCGGATCCCCTCGTCTCCACATAAGCTTTACCTACAAATTAAAAACACTTAGAAATAAGTTAGTATAAAATATAGAAACAAAATTAATGCATGCATGTCCCGGGACTGACGTAAAAATAAATCTATTTCTATATGCAAGATGCTAAATTGAATTAAATGCATAAATGTAAAACGAAAAGGACGAATTGCTCCCTATGATGGTCCGTTCAGGCGGTCGCTTCCTCTCGTATGCATCTAAAAAGATTTAAAATAGATATTAGTATATATGTATAGGAAACAACAAAATAATATTAAAATCACTTACCTTAATTTGAAATCGAGATCGAAGGATCTTTGCGGATGCCCTCGTCTCCATATAAGCTTTACCTACAAAAAAAAATCACTTAAATATAAGTTAGTATAAAATATAGAAACAAAATTAAAGGATGCATGTCCCGGGACTGACGTAAAAATAAATCTATTTCTATATGCAAGATGCGAAATTAAATTAAATGCATAAATGTAAAAGGAAAGGGACGAATTGCTCCCTATGATGTATTCGGTCGTCCTATCATGCGGCCGCTCCCTCTCGTATGCATCTAAAAAGAATTAAAATAGATATTAGTATATATGTATAGGAAACAACAAAATAATATTAAAATCACTTACCTTGGATTTGAAATCGAGATCGAAGGATCTTTGCGGATGCCCTCGTCTCCACATAAGCTTTACCTACAAAAAAAAAAGCACTTAAAAATAAGTTAGTATAAAATATAGAAACAAAATTAATGCATGCATGTCCCGGGACTGACGTAAAAATAAATCTATTTCTATATGCAAGATGCGAAATTAAATTAAATGCATAAATGTAAAAGGAAAGGGACGAATTGCTCCCTATGATGTATTCGGTCGTCCTATCATGCGGCCGCTCCCTCTCGTATGCATCTAAAAAGATTTAAAATAGATATTAGTATATATGTATAGGAAACAACAAAATAATATTAAAATCACTTACCTTGGATTTGAAATCGAGATCGAAGGATCTTTGCGGATGCCCTCGTCTCCACATAAGCCTTACCTACAAAAAAAAAAGCACTTAAAAATAAGTTAGTATAAAATATAGAAACAAAATTAATGCATGCATGTCCCGGGACTGACGTAAAAATAAATCTATTTCTATATGCAAGATGCGAAATTAAATTAAATGCATAAATGTAAAAGGAAAGGGACGAATTGCTCCCTATGATGTATTCGGTCGTCCTATCATGCGGCCGCTCCCTCTCGTATGCATCTAAAAAGATTTAAAATAGATATTAGTATATATGTATAGGAAACAACAAAATAATATTAAAATCACTTACCTTGGATTTGAAATCGAGATCGAAGGATCTTTGCGGATGCCCTCGTCTCCACATAAGCTTTACCTACAAAAAAAAAGCACTTAAAAATAAGTTAGTATAAAATATAGAAACAAAATTAATGCATGCATGTCCCGGGACTGACGTAAAAATAAATCTATTTCTATATGCAAGATGCGAAATTAAATTAAATGCATAAATGTAAAAGGAAAGGGACGAATTGCTCCCTATGATGTATTCGGTCGTCCTATCATGCGGCCGCTCCCTCTCGTATGCATCTAAAAAGATTTAAAATAGATATTAGTATATATGTATAGGAAACAACAAAATAATATTAAAATCACTTACCTTGGATTTGAAATCGAGATCGAAGGATCTTTGCGGATGCCCTCGTCTCCACATAAGCTTTACCTACAAAAAAAAAACACTTAAAAATAAGTTAGTATAAAATATAGAAACAAAATTAATGCATGCATGTCCCGGGACTGACGTAAAAATAAATCTATTTCTATATGCAAGATGCGAAATTAAATTAAATGCATAAATGTAAAAGGAAAGGGACGAATTGCTCCCTATGATGTATTCGGTCGTCCTATCATGCGGCCGCTCCCTCTCGTATGCATCTAAAAAGATTTAAAATAGATATTAGTATATATGTATAGGAAACAACAAAATAATATTAAAATCACTTACCTTGGATTTGAAATCGAGATCGAAGGATCTTTGCGGATGCCCTCGTCTCCACATAAGCTTTACCTACAAAAAAAAAGCACTTAAAAATAAGTTAGTATAAAATATAGAAACAAAATTAATGCATGCATGTCCCGGGACTGACGTAAAAATAAATCTATTTCTATATGCAAGATGCGAAATTAAATTAAATGCATAAATGTAAAAGGAAAGGGACGAATTGCTCCCTATGATGTATTCGGTCGTCCTATCATGCGGCCGCTCCCTCTCGTATGCATCTAAAAAGATTTAAAATAGATATTAGTATATATGTATAGGAAACAACAAAATAATATTAAAATCACTTACCTTGGATTTGAAATCGAGATCGAAGGATCTTTGCGGATGCCCTCGTCTCCACATAAGCTTTACCTACAAAAAAAAAGCACTTAAAAATAAGTTAGTATAAAATATAGAAACAAAATTAATGCATGCATGTCCCGGGACTGACGTAAAAATAAATCTATTTCTATATGCAAGATGCGAAATTAAATTAAATGCATAAATGTAAAAGGAAAGGGACGAATTGCTCCCTATGATGTATTCGGTCGTCCTATCATGCGGCCGCTCCCTCTCGTATGCATCTAAAAAGATTTAAAATAGATATTAGTATATATGTATAGGAAACAACAAAATAATATTAAAATCACTTACCTTGGATTTGAAATCGAGATCGAAGGATCTTTGCGGATGCCCTCGTCTCCACATAAGCCTTACCTACAAAAAAAAAGCACTTAAAAATAAGTTAGTATAAAATATAGAAACAAAATTAATGCATGCATGTCCCGGGACTGACGTAAAAATAAATCTATTTCTATATGCAAGATGCGAAATTAAATTAAATGCATAAATGTAAAAGGAAAGGGACGAATTGCTCCCTATGATGTATTCGGTCGTCCTATCATGCGGCCGCTCCCTCTCGTATGCATCTAAAAAGATTTAAAATAGATATTAGTATATATGTATAGGAAACAACAAAATAATATTAAAATCACTTACCTTGGATTTGAA